TATATATATATATATATATATATATATATATATATATATATATATATATATATATATATACACATATATATATACACATATATATATATATATATACATCCTGTTTTCCTTCAAACTTGACAAATCTTCATTGTAGCAAGATTAAAGTGATGTACAACTAATATGTTCATTGAAAACCAATAAAAAATCAATTATGTAACCATAATCTGCAATTGTTAAATTTGATTACAGTGCTGTACAACTTTATTCTATCTTCAGGTGTGGATATGACACCTTGTTCTTCAATTTGAATTTTGGTTTGGGTCCCTCTAAGACATTAGGATATATGGACACATCACAGATGAAACGAACTCGATAACACATCCACAAGATGTCAAGATTAGTCGCCTAATAACAATCACTAATATATTGGGTCCTTTCCTAAGCTATTGGGAAAAGTGGTAATACAATCATATATTTACTAACTCGATAACACATCCACAAGATGTCAAGATTAGTCGCCTAATAACAATCACTAATATATTGGGTCCTTTCCTAAGCTATTGGGAAAAGTGGTAATACAATCATATATTTACTATGGTATCATAGAAGGTCATATGTTTGAAACATGTACTTGCATTCCTTTATTTCATTTAATGCTTAATTAAATTTGTACAGTGCTCTCTCCTCTATTTCAGCTTCAGCTATTGAGTTAGTAGTAAAGAGCATAAGAGGAAAGTTCGGCAAACATTGTCACAACACAGTCCTATTTCTTCCAATGGGAGACTAAACTAGGAGTCACAAATACACAGTGCATATAACACAGATGGATAATCAGAATGATGCATTTATTTAAGAATCAAATAACCTTATTTCATACTAAAAAAAAATTATATCACACACTGCATAAATATATACATGGTGCACAGGACACAAATGCATAGTAGAAAAGATGGATGTTTTTAGGAATTAAATAATCTTTTTAAAAGCTCGAAAGAGATCATATCACATATTGTTAAGTTAATGCAATCTAACAATCTCAATGACATGGTGCAGTAACAATTCTAAATCAACGTTTACGAAAAAAGAGCTTACAGTCCTATTGCCAAATCAAAATGAAAAACCTACATAAGTTAGTGAATTAAGCTCATCAGACAACAATTCAACAACAGAACACAAACTTCATCCTCCCTTGTCATCGTTATGGAGGTTTAGCTTCTAAACCGATCGGATCTTGGCTGGCAAGCAACAGAGCAAGAAAGCAATGTGCAAACGAAATCAACAAACTCGTGCTCTATGTAAAAGAACTGGCAAAAAAGGAGCCGAGGCACAATGAGTGCTCTAAATGATCCGCCAAAAACATCAAATCATCTTTCGATTTCTTCATAAAGAAGCAGGAACCTCCGATCGGAAACCGACACAAGAAAACCGCAGTCAGAGCCTTCAGTTGACGAGAACGAGGGACAAATTAGCAGAACTAATCAATGAATTCAGTCATAAAACAAGCTCCAAGCATCACAAAAACCTCGAGCTCTTGTAAGTGAAGAGACTTCACCAACGGTCCAAGAAACCCCAGAGAACCTTCACAAATTGTCACCGGAAACGCCAATTTAAGGGATACCACCCGTCCTTAGACTTGCGGACGACAGATCAAAGCCCATAAGGACGGCCGTCGCCGCCGGAATCCGCCGCCCCATGCGGCCGGTAGCACGATGGTCGAAAGGGAGGGGGAAGCGAGCGAAGTCGACAGTGGAAATCCGAGGACCTTTTATAGGCAAGCCGGATTCGGACTTTACTGAAGAAACTAAATGCAGCTAATTAGCAACCAGATGCGTCCGGGGTCTCGCGTCGACCGCGTTCGTACAAGGTCGGAAGCGCGCGTAGCACATCGCAGCCGCAGGATGCCTCATGCGATGAGATCAGACGGTTCAGGGTTCGACACGAGAGGGTTCCAATCGCGGGTGCTTACATTATTCCTAGTGGCACCTCGGAACGTTCGGTATCACCCGGGAAAGCACAAGACACTTTCTCTTGCGGGCGTGAAGACTCACCTCAACAGCGGACCCCACCTCTTCTCTCCAGTCACCACACGGGTACGTTTATTTCTCGACCGGATGGCGTAGAGAGGGTGTCCTTCTTGGAGACTTAAGGTTGACCACCACGGTAAATGGACGGCAATGATCGAGTGGCGTCGTCGTACGTGTCAAGCGTACGGAAGACACGATAACCTTTTTTATAATATATCTAATTTTCCAAAAAAAAAAAGAGGAAAAGTAGTCTTTGTGTTTTCCATATGATAATTATTAGTTGACCAATCCAATTCATATCAAGATTCTTCTATTTTGGACGAGGATGAAGACTAGAAGTAACGTGAGATTCCATTGGAACCTGCACACCAACATTTCTCCCAATAATAATATATATATATAGTGTAATTTAAATTTAGATTCAAAAAGTAATATAGGTGGTCAATCATACATAGTAATCACTTCAATGTTACGATTAATATATATTATATATTCGCAGGTATCACTTCAGTGGATATTAAAAAACTATTAATTGTGCATAATAAATTCAGTGGTTTGTAGTATTAATATCATATATTAATTGTTATACGATGGCCAATAATTTTATGCTGCCTAATCCAGAGTGCAGGCAATGGGCCCCGGGCCCACCAATTCTAAGAGGGCTCCACTCTAAGCCGTGGCGTGGGAGAGCTCTCACCGCACGAGACCTGAACGCTGCCTGGCATCGCGCATGAAATCAAGACCAAGTTGCGCCGCGTCACGGGAGAAACGCAGCCCAGCAAAAACTATCCTACACGTCTGCGGTTTCCCCGACGAACTGCGGATCACAAGAACCGCGTCCTCCTTCCCTGTCGAGGGCATTTCCGTGATTTCACTGTGATCCATGGCGAAGGAGAGGGGTCGGATCTGGCGGCTGGGATTCGCCCACGCCAAGGGATCGCCTAATTTCTTCCTCCGGTACAGCGTACCAAAAGCCACAGCAGATCGATCATATTCACTGCGTCAACATTGGAGACGTATGATCCGTACGATGTGCTGGTTCCGGATAGGTGACTTGCACCCGCGGGGGAAGGGATGGAAGAAGGCGCGCTAGGAAGCGGACAAGCGACAGAACTAACCTCCAAGAACCGTTTGCAAAATGCTTCGTCCAGTGGCGTTCGGATGATAGACACCTAAGCGACTTAGAAGGAAATAAACGAGTCAAATCGGGAAGAAGGTTGTCGTGGCGCCCAAAGGGGACGGTTGCAAGTTACATTTTGTCTCGCGCCTTGTATGAAATATATGGTGGGCAGCAGACAGCGTCGCCGAAGGGGCCGTGTAGGGTCTCGCAGAGGCAGCACAGACACACACAAAGAAATAATAAAAAATAGACCCAATCCTTATTCCTTAAATCCGGACATTTCTGCAAATGCTCTCCTTCGTATCCTTCCTCCTCGCGATTCTGATTTTGATTTAGGGTTCAGATCGATCCAGTTTTTGCGTCGGCTTCCCCGACCAGAGAACGGAAAGGAAAGTGATAGGTTTCGGTGGGAATTGTGGATTTTTCGGGGTTCGGGTGTCTTCTCCGAAGGATTGGTGCGTCGTCCGTCGTGGAACTGGGATGCTGTCCGGTGCTTGGGGGCTTTGGAAGAGGAAGTTTGATTGGAGTTCTGAATATTGATCGATTGAGGTAGATTCATCTAATTTGAGCTCTTCATGTCGGTATCAAGTGTTCTTAGTGTTTCAGTCGATTCGTTTTCTTGTTCTTTCTGTAGGATTCCGTTATATCGGAGGAACTTGAAGGTCGACACGAATTTTGAAGGGATCTGGTGCGCAGAGCAAAACAAACTTCAACATCGTACTGGGGCTTTTAAGTCCGGAAAAATTCCGGTGTTACTCGCTTCAGATCTGTGATTCTTAAGAGGAATTCGCAGCAAAGGCGTGGCCTTTCTGTTACAGGGCTTTCGGGAAACCCGGGAGAGGCGAAGAGGACCGCCTTTATTGTACCTTTCGGCCGTTAAAGATGGTGTCCTGTAAGTAGAAGAGTAGAGGGGCTGCGAGGGAACGCTTCTAGGGTTCCTTTTTCACCGGACTAAAAGCGTCAAAGCCGGGATCGGAGGTAGGCTTCAGATGCAAGGCTAAGTGTTGCACCTCCACGGAAGTAACCAGGTTTATGTTGCTTTCCTAGGGGTTTCTAGGTGGACTGGAATTTGGGGTTGGAATTAATACATGTGTGATCACTGGGCTTTTCTGAATATTTATTTTGTCTTGAAGGTTTGGAAGAAGAAGAAGAAGAAGAGATCATATCCTCCGTTGTTTATCATCTGCTTTGAGTTTCGTTCTACGGTGGTGAAAGATTTGTGGTGATGGGGACAAACTATCTATTTCATTGCGCTTTTATTTAAAGATCAATTCTTTCCTAATTGAGTTGCTGAGGGGGTTCAGTGCGTTCTCAAGGCAACATGGCGTTGCCTCACCTGAATATCTCATCAGTTATCGGTTTGTGTTTAGTATTTGTTAAGTTAATATTTATTTCTTTTCCATGATTGCATTTCTAATATGTTCTTTTTTATGCTTGAGATATCCTGTTCCTTTCAATCTTTATTTCTTTTTCTCTTCTATTTTTAGCTATTTGCCTTATGTATTACTTTTTGTACCTTGAGGAAATCCGTGCTCCTGGATATATAAATATTTTTTTTTGTAGAAATCAATTAAGTACACAAATTAAAAAGTTTTTTTTGGCTAGCTTTTCTCACACATTACGTGATTTTTTTTGGTCCTCTGTTGTTTTCACTTTAAGTTCTGTTAATGTGCTGCTTGGTTGGATGTTTCAATTTACCTTTTGTCTTTTCTTGTGTTTCCTTCATAGTCTTCTTATTGGTTCTAAAATTGTTTTTTTTTTCATTTTTAAGAGGGTTTGCTCTTTTTCATTATTGTTTCCTCAAGATGTTTGATGGTTTCAAGTCTCTCAGATTTTGTGCAGTTCTGTAAAGATTTTGGCTTGTCCTTTTCCCGACTCGTAGCCTCATAGAACTATTCTTTTATTCTCTTTTAAACTGCTGGTCCTTAAAATTTCCTTTTAATAGACGGAATATTTCTAAATAATGATCTTTCAATCATGGGTTAGTCTTACAACTCATTTGTTCTTGGAGCTGCAGTAACAATTTTTATTATTTATTCCTCTTTCTCCAGGGACTTCTGGTGATGCCTTGTATGATGAACTATGGCATGCATGTGCTGGACCCTTGGTTACCTTACCTCGTAAAGGCGAACGAGCATATTACTTTCCCCAAGGTCACATGGAACAGGTGCTTGCAAGCTTTTGAATGTCTTTCTTTTACTTGGTTTGAGTGTTTTTGGTCACTTGCTACTAGTGATACAGCTCTTCTGGCAAAGGGTAGTTGATCACTAATTCCATCATGGTTACATTATCTTGTTAAATGAGAGAATAAAATTGGATAGATTGTCTTCTCTGCCTCAGTGTTTTTTTTTGTTTCTGCCTTGTCGTAGCTGGAGGCATCAACAAATCAGGGGCTTGACCAGCATGTGCCTGTGTTCAATCTACCATCAAAAATCCTGTGTAAGGTGGTGAATGTCGAACTAAAAGTAAGTTCTTTAAGGGTCATGTTTAATTTCTACCTTTCCATTCTTCATCATGTTTGATGGTGTAATATAAAGAAATGATATGTTTTTCTTTGCATAATGTCATCATAGGCAGAACCAGATACAGATGAAGTGTATGCACAAATTACACTGTTACCTGAACCAAATGTGAGTCTTTCTTTATGGAGTTTATATTTTGTTTATGGAATCATGTCATGCAGTGTTTCCAAATTTAGCATAAATTTAGCATTTGGTAAATTTGCGCATATATCCTTATAAAGTTAGAGATTTTGTATATGCTTCTCTAAATTTAAGTTTAGTATATATATCTTTGCAAAGCTCAAAAACTTGCAAATATGCTATATGTAGTTAACAGCCATTGGTTCATTGCTAGCATGATGATGTTGAATTCAAATTGTAATCACTCTTCACAAATGTTCACAAACATGAGAGGTCAAATAATTGGTGAAAGTAATAAAGGATGTTTTAGGTATTTAAAAATTGAAAAAAAATTGAATTAGTGATAACTATGATTAGTTGTAGTTAACTTTGGCTTTGGCTTTGGCTTTATTGGCTGGATGCTAGTGGGAGTGGCATATATGAAAGATTTTATCATGATATATATGTAAAATCTAAATATTTGGAGGGATATATATGCAATATTAAAATTTGAAGGGGCAAATATGCTATTTTCAAACCTTGAAAGGTAGATATATGTAAAACTCCCTTGATAATTTGAGGTGCTCTTTTTTTAGAGATTAAGACGATTTGAGGTTATAATAGAAGCTTTAGTTGCTTCTTATGGGTTGATTATAAGCAATGTATTCCTATGAAAGTTTTTCCTCTATTTCTTCCACGAAATTATTTTTTCTGATTATAAGTTCAAGAACAACTTATGTATCTTGATAGTTTTTTTCTTCTTTTACATCATTAGCCTTTTGATTTTGATGCTACTATATTTTTCTTCTGTTATTTCTTTGTTGTTTATACTTTATACTAAGATTATTTTTTTTCTTTGCATCAGGAAGGTGAGATCACTAGTCCAGATCCTCCTTTACCTGAGCCTGAAAGGTGCAAGATCCATTCCTTCTGTAAGACTTTAACTGCCTCCGACACAAGCACCCATGGAGGTTTCTCAGTTCTCAGGAGGCATGCAGATGAATGCCTTCCTCCATTGGTTAGTTGCTATTGCAAGTTGCTTATATGCTCATGTATCAATCCAAATAGGAGATTTTGAACTTTGTTGCAGATGAATTGGATTAGCATTTTATTTTTCACATACTGTAAATTTCTTGCTAAATCCTTTCATCCTTGTGTAGGATATGACTCAGGATCCACCTTGGCAAGAACTAGTTGCCAAAGATCTTCATGAAAATGAGTGGCGGTTTCGTCACATTTTTCGAGGTTTATATTATATTTATTCAGTTGTCAATCTCTATAAGATGCATTATTTTTCCTATGCTACTGCTGCAACTTAAGGTTCTCCAGTCGTTATCTAGTTTTCGTTGTTTTTGTGTGGGCCAGAGAATTTCTTTGCTAATTTGACAACTGCATATGACATCTTGTGTTCTTTGATAGTATGGATGACTCTATACTGATAAAAAAAGAAACAAAACATTTTTCGTCAAAAAGTTTACTATAAATCACAAGACACCTCTGTCTTATAGAAAGCATTCTTGATCAGATATGTCTTATGGTTTTAGCTGATATTTTGGGTCAGTATGTGATTTTTAGTAAATTATGCATTTTTTGTAGTACCTAAATAAACATAAGGTGTCAAAATTGATTTTCTTCAATAAAATCTGAGTTGAAAAACTGCAACCTTCATGATTTTATCAAATATTATTATTGTTCAGAATCGAAGTAGCGATCATGTTGTTCATAGATGGTGGAGTCAGACTTGCATTTTCACTCTTTCAGGTCAACCTAGGCGCCATCTGCTTACAACTGGTTGGAGTGTATATGTCAGCTCGAAGCGGTTGGTAGCTGGTGATGCTTTTATATTTTTAAGGTCAGAAAATCATTGCTTTTATTGGGCATTTGAGAAATTCAACATATTTTCTGGTCATAAATTGTGGCACTTTTGTAAATGAATTACTATGTACTTGGGAATTACTATCTACATTCTCATGGCAGAGGGGAAAACGGTGAGCTGCGAGTTGGTGTCAGGAGGCTCATGAGGCAACTAAATAATATGCCATCATCCGTGATATCCAGTCACAGCATGCATCTTGGAGTTCTTGCAACGGCATCTCATGCTATCACTACTGGGACACTTTTTTCTGTTTTCTACAAACCAAGGTTACACTTTTAGTTGGCATTCTGCTCTCAGAATATCTTGCTATTCTTGCTCACACGCTAGCTTGCAAGTAATATGGGACTAGGTTCATGTATACTGTTTCAAGGATATTGATGGTCCAGCTTTTTAATGCAATTATGTTCTCTATTTGTATATATTCTCTATTTCTTAAATTTGTAATGAAGAATTTGCATTATGACATTTGGTTTTTTTCTGGTCTTAATCATTTAGCTAATTTTATGCCTTCTGTACTGGTTTTCGATACATCCGAGCTACAGAGTTCTCTTAGATGTGAATTTTAATTTATTTTCTTTTTCAAAAATAGAATCTGACATAAAGATATGTTTAATGCTCCAGAGCAAGTCGATCTGAGTTTCTCATTAGTCTCAACAAGTATCTAGAAGCCAAGAGTTACAAGTTGTCTGTTGGGATGAGGTTTAAGATGAGATTTGAGGGTGATGAAACTCCTGAAAGGAGGTAATTTTGGTGTCTTTGTAAACTAAAAATTAGACATGCTATCACACTGTACTAAGTTAACATTCTATATTGTTACAGATTTAGTGGTACTATTGTTGCCGTTATAGACAAGGTATCATCTCAATGGGCAGATTCAGAATGGAGATCCTTAAAGGTATAATGCCAAATAAATTTTTCGTATGATACAAAGTATGATGCCAAATAAATGTTTCTGAAAGCGTTTCTCTTTTCAGTGTAATGACATGGAACCTTTTATCATTTGGATTATACTATGTTTTCTGAATGATCACAGAATTTTTCGTGAACCTAGTAAGAGTTTTGTGTTTTATGATTAGGTCCAATGGGATGAATCATCATCTATACAACGTCCAGACAGTGTTTCACCTTGGGAATTGGAGCCACTGGTGGCAGCTACTCCTCCGACCTCCCAACCAGTCCAGCGAATCAAACGAACACGACCACCAGCTTCATCTGTCATGTTACCAGAACCTTCTCCTGCGCCTGGTATGGATTTTGCCATCAGTAACTGCTTTCAATCTCTTTTGTATCTGAGAACCAGATTTAACGATTGGTGTTGTTTTAGTCTTTTCTTCGGAATTGAAGTAAATGTTTCTTGATGATTCCATGTGAAATAACATTATAAACACATCCACCAATTGTGTATGACGTTCTATGAATTAATTTACGCTTGCATGCCTTCGAGTAAGTTTTCTGATAAAGTAAGAAAAAATTGGAAACCTTTTGTGCTCGTCTTTTGCGTCATATCAAGTTTCAACTCTTCAGGACTCAAGATGTTCTGACAGATTAGGTGGCCTACATTCATTATAGATTGACACGGAATCCTTTGTTCATGCACTTGTATTCCTTGCAATGATGATCTGGTTTTTCTTGCATTGCTTCTCTGCAGATCATTTTCTTAGCACCTGTCTCGCTATTGTAATTATTTTATTGCAGGTACTTGGAAATTCCAGGTCGAGAATAGCCAAATGTTCTCTTTTTCAGGGTCACAAAGAGGTGAAAAGCTATATTCACCATCCAAACCAACATCTCTATTCTCATCAGCATCACAGCCTAGTTCCATCGGATTCAATGCAAACATTGCTCCATCAACTGCTGCCAGTAGCCACATGTGCTGGCCAATTAGGACAGAAACTCAAAGTGATACCTTCTCAGCAAGCATCAATAGAGAACCATGTGATAAAAAGCAGGAAACTGGCAAAGGCTGCAGGCTGTTTGGGATTCAGCTATTTGAGAGTTCTGAAATAGAAGAAACATCGCGAGTTCCTACAATTTCAGGTGTTGGGCTGGACAAGCCAGCGACATCTTTGGAAGCGGATTCAGACCAACAATCACAACCGTCGAACATTGACCAGTCTGATGCAGCTGCAGTCAACAGTGAGCCAGAGAATTTATGCTTAAAATTAGCTCAGGAGACGCAAGGCCGGCAACTGAGAAGCTGCACAAAGGTTATGGATTGCTTTTCCTTTTAAACTTGATGACATACTTCGACAAACATATTTTTGTATCTAAATGTTGAAACTATACTCCTTTGGCAACGGCAAACTCATTATTTAAGTATTGGAAAACTGTTTTTGTTAGAGATGCTGGTAAGAAATTCTGTTTCCTGCAGCAGCTGCTATTTGAAGCTTGAAAGTATGCTAAAGCACCTTCTCTTTGTGCAGGTTCACATGCAGGGTATGGCAGTGGGGAGGGCAGTGGATCTGACGAGATTAATCGGATATGATCAACTTGTGCAGAAGCTGGAAGAGATGTTTGACATTGAAGGAGAGCTCTCTGGTGGAGTTAAGAAGTGGGTGGTTGTCTACACAGATGATGAGGATGACATGATGTTGGTCGGCGATGATCCTTGGCAGTAAGGCTCCAAAAACTTCCTCTTTAACAATATAATTATCTGCTTAAATCTTTCTGAGAGGTATGTCTGAACATCTGGCACCATAGTAATTTCGATTTATGTACATGGATATACAGTGAGTTCTGCAGTATGGTGAGGAAGATATATATTTACACAAGTGAAGAAGCCAAGAGACTCTGTCCGAAGAAAAAGCTTCCAGTCATCAGTGAGGCTGCCAAGTCTGGTTCAGAGAAGGCTTTTCTTGATGCTGATGCGGACATTGTTGCCGATTAGAACTGCCGGCGCGTCTGCCCTTCCCAAGTAGGAATACGATTTTCCCTTGCTCTTTTTGTTATATTCCGTGGAGGTTGGGCGATTGGTATAGGAGAACCAACATGGGGTCTTTTTGTCACCAAGGTTGCCGTGTTGTCTGGTGATGGTAAGGATAAAGATGGATGGACGATGACACTTTAGGTGATGGTTATAGTGGTGTCGTTAGATCAGACATGTGAAAGGATGATGCATTAGGATAGCGAGCAAGCATTCATAGCACTGTTTGTGTGTGTTTTTCCTCGGTAGTAAATAGAATACCTTTCTTTATTGATACAATAGATATGTTGCTGCTGCGTCCAAGTAGGATGATTTACTCCTTTAAATATGTTTGTTGCCCATGTTAAAGACACTTATATTCGCTTGAACCTTAATAGTTTATGTACATAAATATTTGATGTTCATCCTTTAGTGATGAGAAATTATGGATGTTTTATCCCCTTTTTATTTTGTGTCCATCTACCAAATTTGTGTCTTAGTAATCGGACTCTGATGTGGATCATTATATGTAAATGAAATGTATAAGCAGGTTTGCATGCAAATCTTTCAATGGTGATGCTGCTGATAAGATCAAATTTGATTGTCAATTCCACTTTCTTTCGAATACTGTTTACAGTGAAAAGATTGTTGAGAATTTAGAATTAAAAACAGAAAGAAAAAAAAATCGAATATGAAAAATGTTTATATCTCTCTATATGTTTTATTATTTCACTTTAGTTCGAGAATAAAATGTGCATGTATGCTCTCTTCCGCTTCATGTAAAAGATCATTTTAGTATTGTTCTTATGATCGTTGTTTTTGGGGCATCTGTGATGGGTGACATGACATGAAGTCGGACTTCGTCCGATGCCTGAGGTTAGTGGGAAATAATAAACCATTAGCAAGCAGGCAGGTTAACCAGATTATTTACAACAATGGTAAAATACTAACAGTGTTGGGTGACGAAAGGTCTATTCCCTGGATAACCAACCGACCGTACATCTCTGCCATGAGGCGTATTAGGGAGGACAAACCAATAGATAGATACATTTAGAAGACTAACACAGAGTCCAATATTGTCTCCACCAACCGACCATCCATAAGATCAGCACGCTAACACTACTTGGAATCCATTCGGATGAACAGCTCCGGCATGCACTTCGTCTTCATCGTCGACCAACACATTGAAGGCCTTCGCACACCACCAACCACACCGCAAACATCGCCAGACACAGCAGCACGTCGACCGCGGCAACGGTCTTCGCATGGCGCCACCACAACCTGCGCGCGCATTGCTGCGCCTTGAGCACCGAGCTCGAGCTCCTCCCCGACGACACCACGCCACCTGCGTCTTCCTGCAGCACATCCACCTTCGACTCGCCGCCGCCGTAGACGTCCTTTGGCTTTCTCTCCTCCGTGCACGCCTTCTCCGCCCCGATCCTGACGACCCAGCTGAGCTCGCCTTCCACCCTGTCGTTCTTCGGCGCGGCCTCGAAGGCGTCGCGGAGGCGCTCGAGGAACAGCAGCATCTCCGAGCTGCCGGCGTTGTCGATGGCGAAAAAGGTGTACCCGCCGTGCATCAGGAACCCGAATGTCATGTTGTCGGCGGTGTGGGAGTGCCAGGAATGGTAGGGTTTGGCCTGGCCCAGCCAGTTGAGGGCCAACGCCTGCAGCTCGTGGCCGCCGCCATTGTAGGAGTACAAGAGGTTCTTCTTCTCCTCCTTGGAGACGCTGAAGAAGACAATGTTTCTGGGCGCAGAAGAAGCGAAAGAAGAAAGGGAGGCAGACCTCATGGGGCCGAGTGTACTGCCGCGAGATGGTAATGGATTCACGGAGATAGAGAAAGGATTGGATAAGAATGACGAGCACGAGAGAGTTCTTAACAGCACCAAAGAGGGAGGTGGAGAGAGAGGTTATGATGAAACACAGAGCGAAGAATAGAGATGGGACTGCCATCGTTGAGGGTGGAAGGTGGGAGGCAGGTACAGGGTGGAGATTTTGACTTTGGGAAAGGGCCGGAACAGCAGAATTGACGATGCCGGCAGTTAGCCGCACGCGCCAGCTCGTAGACTTCTTGTGCCGTTGACCAAACCCCTATAATTGGCCCCTATGATTCCCACACCCGACTTTATTTTGACCAAGTATGATTCTCACAATCTAAAATCCGATTTGGATATGGATGTTGAATCACTATCAATATTAAACCTCAGCCGTATGTATGATCATAATCGAATGATTTCCCTATGAATGAAGCAACAGTTACATAAATACTACTTGGGCATTACAAAATTTTGATGGCATGAACTGTATGTAACACTGTTGTTGTAAGTCCACTCCGCCATTTGTCTATCTACAATAAATGTGTTCGTTAAGAGAGAGAGAGAGAGAGAGAAGGAATCATTGCACGCACTTGAAATAGCTGGTGTTCCATGGTCTTCCACATATTATAAACATCAAATGGCCAAAACCCTCATTATATAATGAGGACTATCATCCCTCAAACCTTCCAACACACGGAAGCTTCGCTACCTCCCGCATGGCTACCTTCAATGGCACCATCATCCTCCTCCTCTCTCTCGCGTCCGTAGCAATCTTGGCCGCCGGGAAGGAGCCGACCACCCGCCTACACTTCTACATGCATGACAAGATAAGCAACCCCAACGCCACCGCTGTGAGGGTCGCCGAAGGGCCTCAGACGAGCACGGGACCGGGCATCAACTTCGGCGACATCTACGTAGTAGACGACCTGTTGACCACCGGACCAAGCCCGTCTTCTCCACTAGTCGGCCGGGCGCAAGGCTTCTACGCTATGGCGTCGCAGGACCCGGCCGACGTCGCCTTAATGCTAACGGTGAACCTGGTGTTCACGGAGGGAGAGTACAAGGGAAGCACGCTGGCGATACTGAGCAGAGACGCCATCTTCTCGCCGGTGAGAGAGCTCCCGGTGGTGGGAGGCAGCGGCGCGTTCAGGCTCGCACGCGGCTACGTGCTCATGAAGACCTACTCGTTCAACCAGACTCTGGGCGATGCCGTTCTAGAATGGGACGTCTACGTCATGCACTAAGCATCATCTGCTTATTTCCCTTCCACTGTTTCCTTCCTTCTATCGTTGTTATGATGAATAATATCCAGTGTTCAATCATTGCACTTGTCCTTTATTGTGTCCGATAGAAATGCAAGTTTGACAAAGTCATTTAAATTCCTTGACAAAGTTATTTGGCAAGATCTGATCTTGTAAAGATTAATAGATTGCAAGATATACATGAAACATCAGCATTCTTGGCGCAAAAAAAATGTCAATGAGAATATATAGTGTAGGAGAACGAAGAATGATGAATCAGCACGACTTAATCCACGGATCGATGTCGAAAGCCTCCTGTCGATTGAGCTGGTTGTCGGCGCCGATTGGATCCTCGAGTAGGGGGTGGGAGCGCCGATCCACGACTCCCGAGGTTAGGTTTCCTTCTTGCAAAAATAACTTTCATCCGATGATCCCCGACTTTGACCCCTCTAACGAACAAATCAGTAATCTCCCTTTTTCTTCTTTTTCTTTTTGGAGACCGGGATAGAAATATTTATACTGTGATGAGAGGATCGATCGTACGTTGATTGACATGATGAACACAACACGATATCAGTATGGATTCTGACTCGATGTGTGAGGCGTTGCCGTCCCAAGATTGTCGAGACCAGACGTGTAGAACAATGTGATGTGACGTGTGATATCAACATTAACGTATCCTGGGAGCAAAACATGTCTTACCATATATAATATAAAACTGTGACCAAACTTTGACAATAAAACTTTTTAAATCAAAATTTTATAATAATTCTGCCCCTAATATGAAACAGCAAGAAAATACTTTTTCAAATTCAATAGGAAAAATATTAATGAATAATTTGAATTAATGAGAAACAAGTAATCGAAATGATCTATCATTGACTGAACTTTTTTCATCAAATTATATAATAACTCTTCCACCAATATGGAATTCAAAAATAATTTTCAAATTAAAATAAAGATATTAATGGATAATCTCCATATAATATTCAACCAATCCGATAATGAAGAGTTTTTCGTCAAAATTTTCTATAGATTATTCTCCGAAAAATATATCAAGAAATTAATTTTAGATAAAAGTAGAGCAAATATTACTGGATAATTACTAAGCTCTGTCTAATCACGTATTAGTTATGATCTATGTACGAGGGTCACATCGCTTCTACACGACTGCTGCCCTCCGTTTTGCCTCAGCGTTCGAAGTACACACCGACTGTAGCTATATGTATCAGATCGGTCAAGTGAGTGCAAGAGAAGCACGACACCCGTATTCAGTTGCTTATGATCGACGAAGATGCATCGAAAAGATTCCATGCTTACCGATGCATGCACAGAAACAGCAAGATCAAGTCCTCGTTCTGACAGGAACGATAGGATGATCAATCCTATCGTACAAGCCCAAGAAATGCAGGCTGTGCTTCTAATCCGATTGGTACCCAACGATGCTTCCGATTAACGCTGGAAACTGGTACATCACGCGCATAAAAAAAAGAGAGGGAAAGAGAGAACAAGATCATCAGACAAAACGTGGGATCCACAGGGCGCAAGAAGAGCCAGTTCGGTCCGCATCGTGGTTGGGCCTAAGCCCTCATCATCTGATCTTTCCTCTACTCCGCAAATACCAAAGAGGAGGAAAAACATTGTCGTACAAGAAGGAAATTGGTAAATAAGATTATACTGTCATCAAATCCAGAAGAGAAGCTCGCAAGAAGGAATGCTTCGATCAATAGCATCAAGAGCACAAAACATTCCCAACAAAAGCAGATCCGAAGACAAATTCGAGAGCCAAAAAGGGGTCAAAACAGAAAGAGAAGAGAATACCGGGCAGAAGCGGCTCAGAGGGAGATGGGTATAAGACTTGTTGTCAGCACATGAGACGAGAATCCTCATCAGAGTGGTGCATGACTGTTGTCTTCATCATCGCCTGCTTGCTACGGAGAGAAAATAATAACAAAAAACCAAAAATAAAACCAAGAGGGAAAAAGAGGGCTACGGGAAGCCACAGCGGCTGAACGAAGATGATCGGATCGCCAACTCCATGTATATATAGAAGGGGAGAGCGGCGGTCGATGACGCACAAGAAACCCTAACTTGTCGTTGGCATAAATGACTGGACCGGCCCGGCCCGGCCCGGCCCGGAACTGATAGAGCAGAATAAACCCATAGGGTTTAATTTGGTATTAGAAATAGATATTTATGTAGAAAAAGCCCTTTCTTTCCCCTATTTATTTTTAGGATACAAATATTCAAATCCTGATCTAATTTTGTTACTGGTTATTTCCAATCAAGAAAAAGAAATTGAATAGGAACAAAAAGTGAACTAATCACTTCTCAAGGATAAGATCGACAAATTTAAATATTACATAAAAACAAATTAACAATTTCTTAATATGTTTAAACTAATATGTAATATTTAAATTTAAATATGTAATTATTTAATTACATAAAAACATATTTAAATAAAATTCCAGAAAAAAAAAACGTTAATTGGAAGTGGACACAGTAGTCGTGATGATGCCTATCTTAATATGCTCAAATGGAGACGTGCAAGAAAACGAGGAAACGATGAGCCACGATACCCATAAAAGATCTGTGCAGTGACATGATAGATCCTAGTCTTGTGCTGTCATAGAAAATGAGAAATACCTTCTCGAGTTTGGGATTACAGTGTATAAGATGCTTGGATTCATCAAGTTCCTGATCACTTTGAGCAGGCTTGATGTCACGGAAAATAAAGCTTTCATAAGATCATAACAAATCACTCGACTCTTAAAGCTAGTTTCTACACATCAATGTCTAATAGTTCTATAACAATTATAGGAACAAACCTTAGTACAAGAAAAAGTCCAAGGAAATCAAATTCATTATGTAGCTAAAAACCAAATTAATGATCCACGTGAAGGGGCAAATTGGTTTCAGAACCTTCTATCCTCTGCTCAACCTTGTCCTTCACATTAGTGTGCGAACTGAGAAGGGCTACCACGCAGCATGCCACACAAATTTCATAGGTAGCTTTAGGGGCAAATATAATATGTGCTGCAATCAAGGATTTCAAGAAAAGCCTAGAAATATTATCAATTTCCTGACTAGAAATATTACCGATTTACATATACGAGCAGCCAGATACTATAAGCTACAACAATATTTGTATCGACAAACATCCCAGAAACATTAAAATCGTGACTGCTTCGAAGAATCAGCCCAATCACAATTCTTCTGGCACTCATAAGGCTAGAGAAGAGGCCTATAAGAAAGTAAAACACAAGATGCAACAGATTATACTTGAGAAATCAGATTGTATGTTCATAGACTGGTAAAGTCAATCTTGTATTTGTGTTGCTAGTGTAATTACATCGTTATACTTAAATCAAGTTTAGTACCATTACAAGAGACTTTATACCTGGGACCTTTGGATCAGATCCACATATGCACAGATTACTCAGCTGTGAAGACCTGAAGGATGCTTGAACCAAAATCTTCACGTATCGAGTCCAGCCCTACCAATTATGCACGAGGTAAGAAGATATGCTTATCATTTTATACTAACAATTGACAGTACAAGTGCAACAGAACTTACTCATTGTTAATACTAAAGTCTAACTACTACTAATCGTGATGCGTCCATCATGACCATCTTCCACCGCTGAACTCAAATGAGCGACGTTCAGAAGAAGCATCTGATCGACCAGTCTCTGAAGCAGCAAATTTTGTGTTTGCTTGGCATCTCTTTCTAGCCAATTCACTATCACTGACACTTCCCTCGGGAAGATGATCATACACTTCCATGAACTCCTGTGTCCATGAATGCATGGGAACTACATAGCTGTCATCTTTGGCTTTTCTCTTTCGCTTCTCATGCTGCTTCACATTTTCTGATATCTGATGAAGTGTCTCATTTATCCTTGCAAGACCTCGCTCCACTGGTTCCACCACATGAGAAACAGTAAATTTAACATCATCGGCCACCTAGCAGGCAAAACAAAGACCAAAGAATTAATACTTATTTGATACAAAAAATTCAAACTAGACATGAAGCACAATGATACACCCACAATTTCGCCGCTCCCAAAGAATACGTCTCGAACACTCTGTTGGAAACTCAACCGTCTTTCCCCGTCGTCAGGACGAGCAATTCGCATCCTTGTTAACCTCCCACCATCACTAATCTCTTCTGGATCTGGAGGAGCTCCAAGTGAAGCATAATCACTCATAACAGCAATATTGCGAACACATCTTTCCCCACGGCGATACGGTTTAGCTGGAAATACATGTGAGTGAACGACCGCAGCAATCCCCATCTGTAAGCAAGGGTCAAACAATCGACAACCTACCAGATTAACCATCTGAAAGCCAGTAAATGCCAGATCTCAACTTGGTTGAACTTGTAACAGTCCTTAATGTTTATATGGTATGCATAAGGTGAAAACATAGAAAAACAAGCAGAAATCAAACAAGTAAATGTAAAATCCGAAGGTATAGCATGTTACCTCGATGCATATGATATAGTCCTGGATGCGTGTTTTCAACTCTCGTGCCAAATGACCTTTAAAGGCTCCCGTTGAGAAAAGAAATGCAACAGCAACACCTTGCCACCAAGTCAAGAACACAATGGACTTGAACACAAGGAACTTGGCCAGGGGCTTAATAGGTTCCAACTTGTGCTTAGTAACAGAATAGAACTGTATGAGGCAATACAAGGCCCAAGTCTGACTAAAATTCAGAACAACTGCTAGATATGGATATCTGCAACATAGAAACCATTGAATATGATGCAAAGATGTTAAGATTCAGAAAACTGAAGTCACACAAAGTTGTTGAATATATAAAAAAATTGATTGAATTACATAGTTCACCTGAATGGTCCCTGAACAAATACAAATGCAGTATTTATAATTTACATGAGCTGCAATGGAGTCTAAAACTAAAAGAAGAGATATCAAAAAGCAAGGATAATCTTACCCATATCTCCATCCGAACTTCCCTTCACCGTAAACCCCAAAAAGCTCTAAAATGATTGCTAAGAAAGCACATACTGTCTTAAGTATCATCTGCAAGATGGACATCTTGATGTCAATTTATGGAAGTAGGGTTCAAAAAACAATAATATGCCCAGAAGATCATAAAAAAGTGGAACCATACATATTGCACAATTCCAATCTTTACAGAATGGTAGAAGTCAGAACCAAGATACCAATGCTTCATGAAGCAATTCAGTGGAAATGGATGTCTTATCACTCCATCTGCATGCTCAAGCTCCAAAAGAGGCGTGCTAGAAAATATTTCCATTTGAGTCTCCATAAATCTAATTGTACTTTCCTCACCACCTTAAAACATGAATTAAAAAACAGAGATATTCCAATCAGAAAAGACAAGAATCATATGTCCCTCCATGTACTGCATAATCTAAAGTAGCCAAAGATTGGCACCAAAAAATGTAAGGAAACACTGATATAGATATTTAGCTGAAGAAATAACCAAACTTCTGAAAAACAAGAAGAGAGATGGTAATAATACCAGATTCAACTTAAAGACCACCTTATGCATGTATATTCATATGCAATTTAGAGGCCAGTTTTCTGCAAAGAAGGTATTTCTGACATTTCATATTCTTCTGTGCATGTTCATTCACAGAAAAGAAAAAAAACTTGATGGCTTCTCAAGGGTTATACTCTTCTACCACTGCTTCTCTTATCAATTACAGAAGAAGTTGAGATCAGAAAAACAAATTTCTTAATGCATATTTGTAGGCGTCCGGACTTCATGAGAACAGTCTATTGGTCATTCTCGCTTTATTTAACCATGCAACAAATTTTATATCCATGATCTCTGGGTCCCAATGGATGGGTCAATTATAGTGTTAAACATAGTAGACAATACTAAAAAAAAATAGATCCAGATTTTGGTCACTGATTGTCTTAAGTTTGAGAAGAAGATCATATCATCTTTCACTTCTTTAAGAGAATTACATCACTCAGAGAGCCACATCATCATAGATATAGGAAACAATAAGAAGCAATTGGACTTTTCGTCACCTTTGTCAGGCATTATTACTAATTAGAAGGGATTAGAAAAACTGTTTGCCTTTTCATAGAAATAAAATAAAAAAATGATGGGTCTTTTAGTTTGTACACATATTCTCAATTATTGTTTGTCAAAATATTCTAAGTTAATATTTTGTGAATGTAGGCTTTGCTACCAAATCTAACATGACAGAATCTAGATATTCAAGAAAAAAAGAACCAATACCTCAATTGGAAAAGATATATTAATCCTTCAAATATATTAATCAAAATTTAACAAAGCCAGCAATTTTTTTGGGAACATACCTAAACAAGCTATCAAGTATCTCTCAAAACAATACATGGCAAACGCCTCATAACAGTCCCGCATCATTTCACAGATGAATGCAACTTTTGTGTCCAACAAAGACAAGAACTGCAAGATAGAAGATTCAACATTTAAACAACATGTACTTATCTAAAGTGTATAGTAATGTTATAGATGTTTGTATGGTAGAATAGTGTACTTCAAGCTCAACAGAGATAAAAAGTCATTCTTCACAGCTTGAGGAAACAAAAAACAGATAATGAACAAAACAAGATAGCAGTAGGTGGGAAGTTCAAGCATAAAACTGATTTCCAAAAATATAAAACAAAAAAAAACGTAAACTATACAAGAGGAATTACACATAAGCTCACTATGCCAAAAAGGGAAAAAATAATAAAGTTTAAAATTTTACCAGATGAAATGCTCCAAATTATGAGACATGCATGTCATTGTTCAAACATGAAACAGATTCTTAAGTCATCCAAGTTCCAACCAAGGCAAGTATTAGATTTATTATATTCAATAAGCAAGAGACTCCCAGTGGAGGGCAGCTTTGGAATTGACAAGAGCCTAAAACTTACAGAGAAAGTACCCAATAACTGCAACAGCAAATGGAAGCAGGCAGACAACATTGTTCTTGTTCTGCAGTCTGAGCATTCGATCTTTGACCCAATCTTAGAAAAACTCAAATTCATAAGAGATGTTAATCATCTCATAATTTTCCGTTAAAACTACATAACTAAAGCCCTCATTATTAAAATGTTATCCCGAAAACAATATCCTTAAAGATGGATTTAACTGAAACTATTATTATTAATTTATTATTTAAAAAAATTTAGCAGCGCTATTGGGATATCTAAGGAATTCATGTATTCCACGCTAAACATCAATTCTTTCACCACCATGCCCTCAATATTGATTATAGTTTTAAGCAACCAATTGGAAAACTTTAACAGTTTAAACAATCTGCAAGTAGTTCAACTTCATCTCATGCTTTAAGAAATAGTTAAAATCTTCTCCAATCGCCCATGCACATTATTTCTCTTGTCAGAGAACAGACATCCATCAGTGCTGCCCAATTCTGCTAGCTAAGTTCTCCTACACAACAAACATTTTTGTAAATCACAGGCAATGGGAACTTCATTGCATCTTCAAGTGCTTTATATAGGTTTGTTTAATTCTAGAACAACAAAAGAACTTTGAAATAATGGAGCCACATTGCATGATAATGAACATGGCATTCAACCGGCGAAAAAGAAATGCAGGCAGTTGAAACTCATAACCGCAGGCAATACATCAGCATCTGCTTATACTTCCGCAGAGGAAGAAGTATAAAACAACAAAATCTGAACAAAAATATACATACCGACTCAACTGCATATACAGGAACCATCAGAATGAGACCGATCAAGAATTTTTGCTCCTGCAATGGATACAAAAACAAATCAACCAAAACAATTTGAGTTACACCAGCAAGAAACTTTTAGGATCTCGAAAGCGAAGAAGTTATCTCGCATATTGACTAACGCATCAATTTGCTGATACCAATATCAATGAAAAGATTTAATAGATCAAGACAAGATAAGATGGATATACCTCAGGCTGATTATAGACAGCAAGGTGTTCAACGATAAGGAACAAGGATAGCACCAGTGCGACGAGTACAAATGCTCCTGCACTTAAGATTGGCCAACCAGGTAATAAATTCGCCTCCCCACCCAAGCTCATATTCAACATTTTCCATGATCTTGACGATTCAGCCAGAGGGAGAAGAAGAAACAACACAGAGAAAACTATATTTCCCGTCATATTGAAAGAACCATTAACTTGGATCCATATACTGCATTATCTGTGTGAAAATTTTAATTATTGCTTTGATATTGTTGATTATTTAGACTTTACAGCAACCCAAGACTGAGTGATGGATCCCTTCTGCCCTGCCTTCTGCAGTTGAACTCCAAAAGGAATGCCACTACCCAGATCAAAATAAGTCCACTTGACAATGTTATTTTGTAGGACTATCACCAAATTTTCTTGGACAGATGCAAACACTCGAAGAATTAAAAACTGTCTTTTATACTAGCATCCAACTAGGTCATCCAACCAACAAACAACTGCAGTTCTTTACCCAGCAAAAGCTGAATAACAACCACAATTTTACATATGAGCATCAGAAATATTTCTGCAATGAAGCCAGAAAAGCAGGTTAATAAATTTAAGCTTTTATTATCAAATTTCATTGCATATCAAAGAAATATAACAGAGAAACAGGCTTTCTATAAAATAATATAAGCCATAAAAGAATATGGAAGGATCTGAGGAGTGGGACATGGAGCAGTGAACTAAGTTACATCAACAGCTGAATCAAAATCTGATAACCCCAACTCAACTAACTTTATCTTATTAAAAAAGAAAACAAAGAAATTTACTGAAAGTCAGAAATCCTACGCTAGAGAAGTAGGTACCAGGGAGGCAGTGGGAAGAACAGTGTATGAAAGTCTACTACTATTAGTATTACTGCTAAGAGACAATGCAGTGAAACCAGCGAAGGAAAATAAAAAGTTGTTAATAAGGAGATGATCATCTGCATCCGTTCAGCCAAACACACACGATGACTGATGCATATTGATGCAGCTAAAAGCAGATGGTACTCCCCTGGAGTATGAAAGTATCAAACTCCCTCAATCATGACAGAACATTAAAGTTTCGCTCAGACAGCCTACCTGGCGCCACCTAAGTGCCGAGTCCTGTATGCAAACGCAGGGTGTCCCGATGAACCCACAAAAAAAGGGACTATGAAATTACATGTGCATTACTGATTACCCCGACCCACAAAAGAGACTGATTCATGAATTAAACGCTCAACATCCATAAGCTATAAGTGTCCAATAAAGAGGCAATAGACGATGCAATATAGTCAATTAGATTAGCTTTTAGTCCAAGGATATATCCAGTCCATTCTAGGGTTATGATTTTATTTTCTCTTTCACACTTATTCTACACGAAATACTATGGAACCATGAAATCCCCGCTTCCCTCTTTTTGTTTCTCTTGCAAACCAATTTACTGTAACCACAAATTATTTTGGAAAAAAAAATGAAATCAAGCATATGCAACATCAAACGAATCATGCATGCGAAAATGCAAGTTGCTTCTAATTCAGGTTCAACGAACCCTAATTTTCTAACGGCATTCATATTCCTTGCTCCTCCGGCAACGATATCAAACATCATCTAGGGTTTCCCCCATGTCGAGTCCAAATTAACCTAAATCTCGAACAAAACGCGATCATGCGCCCAGATTTGATAGTGAGATACATAACAATGCCGGGGATTCAGAGCGACGAAACCGATGGAATAGCAAAGAGAGGGGGGAAAGCGGGTCTCACCTATGCGAGGTCGGTCACCAGCGATAGGTCGGTCTTGTCCTCAAGCTTCTTACTCCTCCTCCATCTGCTCCTCGGATCGAACTCGAGAGGAGGGTTTCTTGTAACGGCACTCAGATTTTTTCTCCTTAGTTTTTCCCCTTGTCTTGACATTTAATAACGGCCGACACCCGTAAAGGATGCCGAGAGTTCCCTCGCTACACGACACAATCCGAAACCGGTTAATCGATTTCGGTTCATACCCAGTCACAGGAAAAAGAGAAACAAAGGAGAAAAATCAAATGGCTCCACTGGTGGGCCCCTTCCCTCTCTAATAGTAGAACGGGTAGAGTCTAGGGTCCACAATGTGTTCTGTTTCAGGCACGTGTAAAGGCTTAATCCAGCCCATTAAGCTCTTTAACGGCCCACAGATATATATATATATATATATATATATATATATATATATATATATATATATATATATATATATATATATATATATATGCTGCTGAATGAATGGAGTGTCGAATCATATTGATTTTTTTTATATTTTATTTGATTTGTGATATATGAGATTTCTCTCCACGATAGGTTCTACGGAGCATCAATGAGCTGCGAGATGATGTCCAGGGCAGTGCCACACAAGCGCTGCAGGTAGTCCGCCCTCTTCGCCATCGCCGCCGGGTACGCCACGGCGGGGCTCCTCCTCGAGAACAGCCTGCCGCATGCGCTGGCGTACTCCTGAGCCGCGCTGACGTGCATGCACGCGTAGTCGTAGTTCTCCTGCGCCAGCGAGCCGAGCGCCCACCGCAGCGCCTCGCCGGCGTTCCTGAACTTCTCGGCACAGGCCCCGAACGCCGCAGTGACGTTCTTGGTCATCATGCCGGAGGCGTACGTCGACGTGCTCCTCGCCTTGGCGAAGGCGATCCCGACGGCGATGGCGGATAAGGACTTGACGTCGTTGGCTCTCAGGCTGCGGGGATCGGACTGGAGCGCGGCCACGCAGAAGGCGTAGTTGGACGTCAGGCTGCATGTGCTCTGGACTAGGGCGGGTGGTGGTGGAAGAGGTGGAGAGGCCAGTGAGTGTGCGAGAACAGGAAAGAAGAAGAAGAGAAATGAAGCCATGAAGGGAGCTATGCTGAAGCAGGATCTCAAAGGCAGGACTTTTATAGTACGTTGGACCATATAATAATTGTGCTGAACACAGGAAGACGAACACCCGAGGACATGGAGAGCTCCATGTTTTCAAGTGCTGCACAGGCTTTTGGGTAAGGTGAGTGACCGATAAAGATAGTAGATCTTTATGAAGGAGACAAGAATGGCTTGACCAAGCTCATGGAAAGCATGCACGTATAGTCACAAGGCAACACAACACGGCTAATATATGTAAAGGCTACCGGACCGGGGTGCACATGGAAACCAGGGTTTGTGTTCCCCGGACAAGGAGGCATTTGAAGGAGAAGATAAAGGAGAGATATGCATGTGTCTCAGATATCAGATGTGTTGGGACGAGCAAGTTGATGATACTATTTTGTGCTGGAGTTGACACAGGCAGGAGTTCAAGTTTGATGTTGGAGAGATCGAGTTGGATATCCCATTTGACTCTAGTCTTCAAGTCAACGCCTCAGCGACACCCAAATTACCCTCTTAGCTATCTCCAAACTTACGTACATGACCTAGAATCAAGTTGGGTTGATAAGTATGAACTTGCAACCAAATGTATAATCTCGATACGTATTACTGGCTGTTTTAATAGTTTAAAACATTGGCTCGAATTGATGTTTTTGTATGAATTTGCAACGATTACAGATTTTATTTATTGTGTTTTCTGGATTACAAATGCTCGATATTATTAATTTTGTGTCTTTTCCTTTCAATAAAAAGAATCGGAATTGGCTTAGTGCTTCAACCTCAGAAACTACAGTTAATTTCCATGGGAACGTGGAAAAACATGATACGATCCAAGAACGTTAGGGTTTGACTTTGAGAGCTTGTTCATTGAGGGTTTGACTTTGTTCATGCCATGCTAAGTTGCTTGAAGCTCGAAAGTCAAGTGTAGGGAAAAACCTACATTATGTTCAGATGTTTGATCTGCGATTTCTTCCCATCCTCGCATCCTAAGTCTTTAACTCTACAAGGCCTTACTTCACACAAATGTGTCTCGGAAAAGGTCACACATGCGACTCACGTTGCGAAGAAGCCATGCAATGAGCTGCGTCAAACCATGCAATCTTTTCATCCTTCTTCCATCCCATCCATGAATTTTGATGCAGTCGTGAAGTGTGCTTGCGAGCATAAACCCTCCAAATAAAGTGTGAGCACCGCACAAATATTGTTTTCATTATTGTTTCCTTCTTTTTTTTTATAATTTAGGTTGTGTGGGAAGAACACACAAATAAATAAATCATGAGGAAATAATATTGTTTGAGAACAAAGTGATCCTTCTAACTCACTAGTCTTACAAGCTCAGATTCATGGCTTCAATCACACAAGAACGAGAAACATTGTTGTGCTATACATGTGCTTCGACTCACCCTTTTTTAGATCTAATCGATAGCAAAATATGATAGCTCGAGGGACAGCATGCATAGCAATTATGTTCATGATGGGTTCATTCAAAATGGCAAGAAAAAGGTGAACATGGCATAGATCATGCATACACAGGTATCATCATTTTTTCTCGGAAGATGTCACAAAATTATCTTTGACTATAACATGTAATTAGCCTTATTCAAACTTGAAGAAGAAGAAGAAGAAGATGTTGATCTGTTTTGCGCTCTAACCCCTACTAATTAGGTTTGATATATCATCGTTAGATTAATATTTATTCTAATTGCAATAAGGTTAATAAGGTATATGTCTGATCAGAATGGGAAATGCAATAAAAGCGTGTAAATGCATTCAAAATGGGAAGCCAAGAAAGTCCACAGCAGAAGCATCACACCGTCAAGCCGCCCCCTTGTCGTCCCTACATCCGATGAACTATTCCCATTCCTTCTCGTGATCTTTGAGTGTAAGAGAACACGAATCTTCAATGGATGTGGTTGTACCCACCAGCACGCAGTATGAGCATTAATGGGCGGGGAATGATGTGAATGTGATGCTTGCATTTCTAGATGACCGACGAGCTATCTCTTTGAAGGAATTCCAACTTGCATTCAAGTTCTCAGTCCAATGTATTCATTGCAGAAGCAGCCGTCCGCTGACCTCAGACGACTTTGACTCGTGCGTTGCAGCCTTACAGTAACACCATCATATGCTCAACCCGCGGTCAACTACCTGCACGAGTAATATGCCTACCGAAGGAAGAAGAAGTCGCCGATGGATGTCGGCGGACATCCCGGTCTCCATTCTTACAAGGAATAAGAACGAGAAGAAACGTTGAGATTCATCATATTTTGCTCTCTCCCATACTTCTCGTACTAGAAGTATTTGTGCTCCTAAAATACTTGTCAGTGTTAATATAATGCAAATAGGAATAAGGGAGGGAGAAGGAAGACGTCACCATCGATGAACGAACGCTTCCTCCGGCCATCTGGGTTGACGAGACTTCTCCTCGAGTAATCGCTTTGACCATTCAACCCTTATCTCTCGCATACTGTTCACGGACACTATTCTCTGCGACCAACTTAATTTCCAAGCAGCTGCTGAGACCTCTTGACTGTGTTCGTGCATGCATTGCTTCGTCTATATATTGACAGCCTCGTGTGGTAGTGTTCATCGCTCTCATCCACACACGCTTCCTCTCCCTCGAAGCGATCATGGGTGTGATCGAGCAAGCTCACGGCCGAGAGGTCTTCAGTTTGCTTCGAGTGAAGTCGCAGAGAAGTAACCCGTCCGAGGAGAGGATCGCGTGGTTGCACGATCAACTCATCGGCAAAGATTTGGAGTTCGACACCCCCTTCGGCAAACGCAGCCTTACTTACGCTGATCACACCGCATCGGGGAGGAGCTTGCATTACATCGAGAACTATATCCTGCAACAAGTCCTCCCTGTTTATGGTACTTCTCTTGTTGATTTGATTTGGTTTGGTTTGGTTTGGTTAGCTGAAGTGAGCTTTGCATGCTGTCGATCGGCGGCTGTAGGAAACACGCACACGGATGATAGCTTTGTGGGGAGCAAAACAACGAGAATGGCGCACAAGGCGGCGGAGTACATCAAGCGGTGCATGGGTGGAGGGCACGATGATGCGATCATATTTTGTGGCGCGGGATCCTCCGCCGCCATCAAGCGCCTGCAAGAGGTGATCGGCATCGCGATGCCTTCCATCATGAGGGACAGGGTGGTGGAGGAGCTGAGGGAGGAGGAGAGGTGGGTGGTGTTCGTCGGGCCGTACGAGCACCACTCCAACCTACTGTCGTGGCGCCAGACCACGGCCGAGGTGGTGGAGATCGGCATGGACGACGAGGGGTTGCTCGACATGGACGCCCTGAGGCTTCAGCTGATGTCTCCCAAGTACGCGAACCGCCCGATGCTGGGGTCGTTCTCGGCCTGCAGCAACGTCACCGGAATTTTCACCGACACGCGGTCCGTGGCTCGTGTTCTTCACGAGCACGGGGCGTTCGCGTGCTTTGACTTCGCAGCGAGGTCAGCCAACGTCGCGTTTGCTTTGCTTGCATGAGCTCTGTTCTCTTTGTCTGCCATGTTTTGGTGAAGCTGCCGTCTTCCGGTCTTTCTTTTGTTGCTTCGAACTACTTCCTCAACCTGGAATAGCTCTGTATCGCTCTGCAGTGGCCCGTACGTGGAAATCGACATGCGATCGGGAGACGTGGAAGGGTACGACGCGGTGTTTCTGAGCCCGCACAAGTTCGTCGGAGGCCCTGGGACTCCTGGAATTCTCCTGATGAACAAGGCTCTGTATCAGCTGAGGTCTTCCCCGCCCTCCACTTGCGGCGGTGGCACCGTCGCCTACGTCAATGGCTTCGACGAGAAGGTGAGCTCTGTAAAACTAATCATCCACGTCTTTCTGGCGTCCGAAGTGACGACTGATGACAATTCCATCTGCAGGATACGCTGTACTACCACGAGATCGAAGAGCGTGAAGACAGCGGAACTCCTCCGATCATCCAAAAGATCCGAGCTTCATTGGCCTTCTGGGTGAAAGAACACGTCGGGCACGATCTCATCGCCCTCCGCGAGCAAGTCTACACCGAGACAGCACTCCGACGGCTTCTCTCGAACCCAAATATCATCGTCCTCGGCAACACGACAGTCAAACGGCTGCCCATATTCTCCTTCCTCGTCGTCCCTCCGGGAGGTGGCTCAGGTGGCACCATGCGTGATGGAACAGGAAGAGATCAGAACAGGTGGGTAGAGGGGTTGAAGATGAAAGGGAAACCCCTACACGGGCGCTTCGTCACGAAGCTACTCAACGACCTCTTCGGCGTCCAGGCTCGTGGTGGGTGCGCCTGTGCCGGTCCCTACGGCCACCATCTCCTGGGAGTAGACATGGAGCTTTCTCTTCGCATCCGGTCGGCTATTCATGAGGTAACACTGCTGCAGATAACATTGAATTCTTCGAGTGATGTAGGAACAATTGTTCATGTTCAGATTGGATCTTATTGCTGTTTGCGGTGCGTGGGCGACAGGGATACAGCGGACTGAAACCCGGATGGACCAGGATCAGCTTCTCCTACTACACGTCGAAGGAGGAGTTCGCCTTCATCTTAGCCGCAGTCGAGTTCGTGGCGATGCACGGGCACCGATTCCTCCCGCTCTACCGCTTCGACTGGGCGACTGGCGACTGGAGCTTCCGCAAGCGTACGTTCAAGTACCACATAATGAAGGCGGAACTGGAAGTGGCCGCTCAAGATCTCTTCGGAGACGCCGGCGTCGAGGCGAAGAGGACAAGGACATGGAGTTCGAGGGCGGTGGAAGACGATGAATCCAAGACGAGCGGGGGAGGTCAGAGATACGAGAGCTACTTCGAGCGGGCGAGGCAAATCGCGGCTTCCCTCGCTGACCACGCAAGTTCTGGCGGCGCGGCCCCGCCTGCGGGAATCGACCGCAGCCTGATACTCTTCAGGATCTAATACTCGTAGTTATTATGTTGTTGGTGAATGGCCATCGAGACAACCCGAAGTAGTCGAATAAGAGCAAGAGACCATGTTTGTTCATTTAGTAGATGAACAGAGAGGGGTCCTCGATGTTGTTGTATTTGATGCTTTGATGTTGGCTGGCATGTGATGCTCGTGGTTAAATACATAAACACAAGTCTTTCTTGGACTTTAGCAGACGTGAATGACAACTGTAAAAAATCCATGAGCGTTCAAAGTGGTAGAACATGTTGTAAGATACTCGCAGAAGCTTCGACTCACAGAGGGTTTAACATGCTCCAAGTAATTGGGATTCCTGAAATCTAACATTGTGATATCTGAAATAAAAAATTACAGAGGTGCCAAAAATGGTAACAATGTGCCCATAAGCACAAAGTAATATGATTGATCATGACAAGTCAGCTAACAGAGAAGCATGGAGTTCTTGGGAAAAAAATCCTCCATGATGACAACAACAAAATTGATGATATATGCACTACCTCTAACAAAGAAAATCACATGATATTGATTTCCCCAGCGTGGAATACAAAAGGAAGGGTGCACAGATATGGACACATACACAGGAAAGAAGAAGCTGACCTCGCCAACGACCATCTTCGGGTTTCACCTGACAGCATAGAGTGGATCCAACATTAGGGCAGCACTGTCAAACAAAACCAATCAAGTTCAATAACCTGCAACCGAAAGGTAGATTTGGTGGCTGCTCATAAGAGGATAAGGTTGTCGAAAATGGATGAGGCAAGGGGTGATGTTTCATAGCCCAAGGGGTGGCAGCAATTGTGTCAAGGCTGGGAATATAGGGTGCTGCGAAATTGTGACTTGCTACTGGTTTTAACTTTCAGCAGTTCTACGGTTCTGTTCTTTCTCATTCATAGACTAAAATTTGTTACTAGTAAATTGATTCGCTGAGCTCCGTAAAGTACCAAATAACTTCACCTAGTAACTAGTAACTTTATTGGTTCATAAAAAAACTGAAAATTTTGTAGTTCTCACTTCACTAGAAATAGTAGAGAGAGAATTTGTTTCTTCATACAAAGTAATTTTGCGCATAGAATTACATACCAGAATAGAAGTGTCAATGCTTGTCAGCCAGGCAGATGCATTCAGGAAATGGGTTCTCATAGAATGATTCTTCAGTCCTCAACCGATCACGGCCTTTGCTTCCAGGCAGTGATCCATACCTCTTTCTTGGAGCCCCTTGTCTGCAAAATAACAAACACATCATCTTGTTTTGAGAAATTTGAACAAGGATCTTTAACAACACATATGGAAACCAAGCGATAGGTACCATTTAGAGAAAAGAAAAAGTACCTGTACTTGTGCATCTCAGATACAAGGGATGACAATTTCGCACCTTCTTTCAGCTCTCCTCTATCTATCATATCAAAGAGTTCTACCAATCCTTTCCTGCAAATAGATGGACGATGAAAATGTGCATAAAGAAAGCACAATAAAAAATTTAAATAGACCACTTAACTCCTAAAACAGAGCACTACATGCTCTGTTCAAGCTTTGTTTTACATTAACCCCACCATCTAGATGGTTCTTTTAATGTCCTAATGACTTTTAAGATCATAATGAGTACAAAGGTAAACTAAAAAAGCAAACTAGTTAATAAAAACATAATGATTTGTGGCACTCTATAAACCTAAATCAAAAGACACGGTAAAATGGACAGGAGAAAAAAAAGAAGTTATATTAATTTGATTTCAGGAACACTACTATTGAAAAATAAGTAGCTAAAGATATGCCAAACGTCCATGATGTACAGGGAAAAGAATGCTTAGTGACGACCAATGAAACCGTTCAAAAGATCTTCTGCGTCATCTTAAAATAAGCTAAAAGAAAACAAGGCCAAAGAAAGAAAATAACATGCAATACTAACATTCATATACCTGTCAGGGTTTATTGTCTTCCTGTGCCCTAAAAATCTACGATGCCCCTCAACAGCTCTAGCCATGTTTCCAGTATATGATGGGACAAATACATCACTTTCCACTGAAATAATGTAGTCAATAGCTGCAGTCTGAGATGAATGACTAGAAAAGTCTTTTAATTCTTCCTTAGTTGCCAATGTCTCCTGCAAGATATAACCTTACCAGTAGTGTCTCGGATTTGATATGCCCAGTTTTATAAGAACATAATACACAAGCTAAAAGTCAATGAAGAACCTTGAAAACTAAGTTGGGGAAGCGAGACCTCAGATCTGATAGGTAAGTTTCACCACCATAGATTTCACCAGCTGCAACGTAAATCCAGGTGGACGAAGGGTATCCCAAAGCTTGCAGAAAGATACCTACTTCCTTGGGGGTTAGAGGACAGAAACCACCTAGTCTTTGTTCTGTTGAATTTATGTCCTTCAATTTCCAGTGGTTTGTAATCTCCCTGGAAACCACAAAGTCATGTCACAAACACATAGGCAACAAAAAAGTCATTGCGGAAAATAGTTATCACCTCATAATTCTGAGCTCTTCTGCTTCCATGTCATTAAGGCCATAGGTACATCCGGTAAATGATAGCATGTCCTTCTCAAAACGCAGATGAAGAGCAATATATTGGCCATGTGACTTCAGCCGCTCCACTAGCTTCTGTTGTATCAGCGTCATGTAGGCTCAGACCCTAATTTACATGATACGCATGGATATCTCTTAAATGCATAACGACAGTAAACACTTTTTCATTTAATGGTGTTGGGTATGGCTGTTTCAGACCTTCCCAAGCCTCTCAATTGGATTTGAGAAACGGAGTGCATCGTACATAGCACGGCATCGTAACCTTTGAATATCGATCGGAAGATCATTGTTAGCTAGCCTTGAATCAGATTTGGGAACATGAATCACCTGAAAGGAACAAATAAATATAAACTTGTACTAGTGCATTACCAAAAGTCCAACTTGGCATGAACATGAGTTGATGGAAGGCATGACATCATTATCAAAATCAAAAACAGAACAAGCTTCATCAGATAAGAAACATCATACGGATTATGAAAAAACTCAAAAAAGAAGCCCATCATGCAGTGGTACACATTTGATCCTAGACATCGTCACAAGACCATGAGCAACAAATTCTTCAAAATACCAACAGGATGTTTTCACTCATAGCCTCAAACTTAATAGCTTCAAGAAGTTAGCTCTTGGACAACACTCATCTCTCAAATCATCGTGTAAGATCAGTCTTCACCTAATCATTACTGGCTCAGTGAACTAGGGCTTTCTTCAAGAAATTTCAAACATCTAACCAAGGCTTAAAATTTTGATTGATATCAGTTTCATCTTGCTAGAACAGTCTAGTACCAATATACTGGATCAATATCAGTTTCATACTGACAATGACAATCTTCAACATAAATAAAACTATTGACCACTTGTTTAGAATGTTATTTGTTGCGCTATCTATCCATCCTATTCAGAAAATACACTTCAGCATATCAAATACCCATCAACAAGAAGCTACCTGATAATCCTTCCATAGTTGTGACATCTCCTCATAGTAACTTGCACCGGACCAAGAAGTAAAATGCTTACGAGCCCTAGGAGCTGATTCCAGTTCCTTGGGTAGCTCGCGAACAATGTGCACATCTCCTTCTAGAGAATTGATAAAATGGGACTCATCGAAAATATCTGAAAAGGTGCTGCAAGAAATTGAGAATGCAAATGAATTCATAATCGATCAATGTGTGGAATTCTCTAAAAATCAGCTGCAAATTTTGTAAAGCAAACCTAGTGTCTTGCCAAAAAGAACGCTTATCCAATTGTGGAATTACTAATGTTGCATTCATCAAACGAGCAACAGCTACCATATCACAAATCTGTACAGAAGAAAGCCATCTGGTCAGCATTCAGTGAAATTTATCGATATGAGATTATCAACATATTTCTAAGGTCAATTAGGTCATTAACCAACAAGATGCAACAGATTGGTATGAAGTCTGATCTATGCTCGGACTATCTAATGCAAATGCCTCGACCTTTGACAACCAATCTTTTAAGTATTTATTAGTAATTAGCAATCTTCCTAGTCCAAGGCCTTTCCACTTTTAGGAGAAATAAGTTATGCTGACCATGTTTATTAGCTTTTACTAAATATTTTTTTACAAGGAAAACGGGATGTTTATACGGCATGCAAAAGAACTCCAAATGCACCTGCACTAATGTAACCAAAACTTGAATCGCACATGGAAAAATATTCACCGAGCTCCTCCTATTCATAACCATATAAACATAGACGTTTCAAGGTCTTTTTACTGCCAATTTCTGCCCTGCAGCAAGAAAAACTGGAGTACATAAAGAGAAAATTATACAATTTTGCAATCCAACTTTAAGCCTTCTGGGTAGCATACGAGACCTCTAGAATGGCTGACGCATGCTTCTAAACAATATTAAAGTTGAAAAGACAAGATCACAAATAAGAATAATGGGACAGTTTCGTGGACCTACACCAGTGCGCATTTGGTTGAGGCCCCCATTGCTTCTAACGGTCAAGTAGCGGTTCCACTTTTGGGGAGCTGGACACACAAGGGGCATGTTGAACAAACACAAACTATAATTAGCATGCCTCGATCAGTTATCGCCGATTAAAAAAAAATAAAGTTTACCACATTTTTAGACATCAGAAGCTGACATCACACTAAAAAGAAGAAATTTAGTGACTGTTTTATCGTAAAAAAGTCAATACCTACATGGTATCAAATATGGCTTAGCTGAAGGCAAAACCTAGTATCATATTGTGAATTTGCATCAGAGACAACAAAGTATAAAAGTAGAAGAGAACATAACAACCTGCATATTTCTGGGTCCGCTTGACACATGGACGATAACCATAACCAGACGCAGAACCCCACAGTCGCTCTTTCAAATCCTACTCCGGGAAGAGAACCACAAGTCAGTAACCAGAGTATTCAGAAGTAAGTAAAAACCGCATACTTTAACAAAGCAATAACAGCACCACATTCCTCCTCGTGGAAGCTTGTAAATCATAAGAGACAAACACAAGACAATCGCATGTCAACAAAAAGTATTAACATTAATGTGTCCAACTTCGGCCTTAATCCCATTAGGGCATAAACCATAGGCACAGAGAGATGAGTTTAGCTGGGATTATACCTCTATCGCCACATATTGGTTGGAATAAAAAGGAAGACAATGAACCAACAAACTAAAACCGTAAGATGAAAGCTAAATAGACTAGAATGATCGCCACAAATATGCTTTTAATGGGCATTTGTACGATCAATTTAAAACATCGAAGCACTCCTGCGAGAACAGTGAATAAACAGGACTCTACCCCTCAGATCCCCACACACAAAACACAATCAAACGAAAGAAGCGCGCACCTCAAAGGACTCGTCCGAGGGATTCCGATCGACTACAGTGATCTGCCTCTGAGAAAAGAGGAAGATGAAGGCGGAGAAGGCGAGGAGAACCAACACGTAACAGGAAATCGAGGGAGGAGGCACGAGTCGAGATCGAAGGAGACGATGCGAAGACGGTCTAGGGTTTGCCATTCCCACGGCCTCACTCGGATCTCCAGATCCACTCTCCCGGTTTTCGGAAGCCAAGAGGCCTTCTTTAAATATAATAATAATAATAATATTATTATTATTATTATTATGGTGATTTTATTGCCTTCGGGTTCTGGTACTCCGCCGGTCGCCATACCCATCATGCTATTGGAGCTTTTCCTTCTTTGGTCCATAAGCTTTAATTTATTATTTTAAGAAAAACCAAATCAATTTTAATTTATTTAAATAACAGAGACATCAGCTGTCCCCAAAAGTATAAAATATAAATATATTCTTTGATAAGATAATTAAAATAGTACTCATAAATCAGTTCATAATCAATCGATCCAATTCTTTAGTTACAAATGTTCATCTATCATTTTAGACCAGCTAAAGAATATTATAACCTACATATAAACCTTCGCCTTTGATAATTCATTAATGGTAATTATATATAAAAATAATATAATCCATTATTACATATAATTCCATCGAGCCCTCATTAATGAACATGATATAGTGAGCGTTTGATTCTTCATCATTTTGATAATATATACCTTATAAAAGATGCAAAGATGGTGGTGATGAAGAACAAACGGGTTGTGAGGAAGATGATAAATACATAGCAAACAATAATAAGAAGAATACAAAGATGGCGATGATGAGATCAATTAATCATTTTATGATGTGGAGATATACAAATGATCCATTAATTTCCTCTATGATGTGACTTCTTAACGGGTAATAACCCGGTGGTTGGAGAGATGAGATACACGGTGTGGCTCGAGGGTAACGGGTCCGTTTTGTCAGAACTGAACGTGGGGCATGGGTCCGGCTAAGTTTGACGGAATGTTGACGCCGTCAACAACGAAGGCTTCGGCTTCTTTCGTCCACACAATAATTTCCTCGATGGATGTGGCCGATGCACCATGCCATCATCCCCTTCATGCATCATGATGGTTACTACCGATGATGATGAAACCCAGGGTGCTTTTGTCATTTGACATGATTAGATGCAGCTGTACTGCGTGACGAATGGCGCAGGGACACGCGTGGGCAAACAAAGGGTCGGAATATTCTCGAAGTGCCCGCCCCCCCGTCGGTTACCTCTTGACTCACCTCGAGCAAGCAGGGGAACCCGCACATGGGCCCCGCGTGCTCTGTCCAATCATCGAAGGAGTAAGGACTGGCCATGCCTGTCCGGATCGAGTCGCGTCGGGCCGACTTCGACTTGGCCGGTTTGAGCATTTGTCTCGGCTCGAGTCCGGTTTGGATGCGACGTATTATTCCGCTTATTTAATTCGGCTAATTAAATGTCATCAGGACATGCGACCATGGTCTCATTGGTCAACCATTTTGACCAATTTGTTTGGGCAAGTAGCGGTCATCAAATTAAATTCAGCAACATGCAATTAGAAACATCCGCATGTGTATGGTGATTTCCCTCTGCTCAATGTGTGTGTGTATCGATGCGAACGATCCTACGGCTTCAGCGACTCAGACACGCGTCTCGTGATTCACGCCCGTCCTCGTGATTCGGGAAAGCACGAGGGGCCATTCTGTAATTACGGGAGATAAAGCGGTACGGCCCCCACCCGCTTTTCTGTCCTTCGCCGCGCGTATCACCCGTGCACGCGCGTGCACGTAGTTTCCCATGCGAGCACCTACCCACCGCCGATGCCGACTCCGCGAGCCGATCCTGTCCGTTCATCTCGCCACGTGGTTATGCCCCCATGGGCTGATCCATCATGATGATGATGCCATGACTATGCTCACACATACATAGCGGCAGCATCTGTTGACTTCATATCGAGAGCCGCAGCAGGAAGAGGAAGTGTCAAGAAATTAATCAAATCCAAGAGGCGCTTGACGTCCGCAAGGACACAAGGACATGTCTCTCTCCCCCTTCCCCATCGTCTCTCTCTCTCTTCGGCTAAAGAAATTACCGGAATCGAAATCGAAATCGAAATCAAACGGAGAGTTTAATCGTATTTAAGACAAACCCTAAGTCCATAACTAGCTGTAGGAGCTGAAGAAGAGGAAAAGGCGGAGATTTGGCTTCACTTCGGGGCGCTTCCGTGGCAATCTTATCGGGAGAGGACTTGGATACTGTAAGTCCGTCTTGGTTCTTCGGCTCTCGATCCTCAGCTTGGTCTTTCTTGCTCTTATTCCGTTGGATCTTTGAGAAATTTGGCTGCGTTGGGTCTCCGAGCGGCCGTGAGTCGGAGCGGAGGGGAGTAGCGTGGGTTTGGATTTCGTTTGCAGTTTTGAGTACCGTCGTGTGGATGTCTTCGGTGCCGGATTCGGTGTTGCGGTTTCTCTTTTGAAGGATTCGACCGGTTAAAGTGGAAAAAGAACGGTGTTAAGGGAAGGGGAGTGGAGAAAAGATCGGATTTTTGGGTCTTTTGGAGGTCTTTGGTTTCGGTTGCTACGGAAAGATCCATTCTTTTGGCATGTTTGCTTGATTCTTATGGCATTTTAATCGATACTGGTTATTTCCTCTTTTGTTTGCTGCTGTTATTCTGGAAATGAAGAGGAAGCGATTAGGGGGATCGAGGTGAGATTTCTTTGTTGGATTCGAGAAATTTGGTAAATGGACTCTGTAATATGTGGTGGAACTGAAGACCTTGTCTCTGATTTCGTTCTGACGGCTCCAAAAATCCTCATTCTCGCGGTGTTTGGAAGAAAAGGATACTTTCCCCTGCTATCATTTTTGACCTGGGATGTGGAATCTGTAGAACTATGTTGATATAAGCAGGCTTTCGATTTGTCGGTGTCGCATCGGCTTTTTCCTTCTGCTTTCCAAAAATGGTGCCTTCAGGGTCTTCGACTCCCATTGGCGGGGCTCAATCAGTCACTCCTTCCCTTCTCCGGTCGAATTCTGGGTTGCTTGGGGGATCCCAGCCCGGGTTGATTCCATCACCGCCCCCTTTCTCGTCTCTGGTTTCGCCTCGTACCCAGTACAGCAACAGCGGCAGCTTGCTTGGAAACATGTCCAATGTTCCACCCCTCAACAATTCATATGGAAATGGAGGGCCTGTCGGTGGGCTTTCTGGATCACCCATGAATCTCCAACAGCATGGTAGCCTTGTTGGTGTTGCTGATATGGTCGGCTCTGCTGAGCCTAACCCTTTGTTGTTCACATCTTCGTCGGGCCAAAGCCAGGGGCAACAACAGTGCTTCCAGAACCCCTCAAGCAGCCAACATGGTCCAGATCAACCACAGTCTCAAATCGATGCAATGCAAAATTTGCAGCAGCAGTTCTCTGTTCCTCAGAGTCAGCAGCTGCCGCTTCGGGGAGGATTGGGTAGCGCAGGACGATTGGGGCCGGTTAAGTTGGAGCCACAGATGGGTCCCAGTGATCAGATTAGTCCGCCGCAGCAATTGCAAACCTTACACAGCATTGGTATGGTGAAAGTGGATCCACAGCAGTTACAGTCCTTCAGAAGCTTGGGTCCTGTAAAAATGGAAAGCCACCATTCAGACCCTTCATTGTTTCTCCAGCAGCAGCAACAACAGCAACAGCAGCAGCAACAACAACAGATTTTGCAGTTATCAAGGCAGAATTCTCAGGCTGCAGCTGCACAAATGAGTCTCTTGCAACAGCAACGAATGTTACAATTTCAGCAGCAGCAGCAGCAACAGCAGATTGTCAAAACCCTCCCTCAGCAACGAGGCCAGTTGCGGCAGCAGCAGCTTCTCCAACACAATCTTCCAGTTAGACCTCCAATGAGATCTACAGTGTATGAGCCAGGAATGTGTGCTCGGAGGTTAACCCAGTATATGTACCATCAGCAGCACCGACCACAGGTAACTTTAAATTCAGTTGGCAGTCTCGTTTGTGAATACCTAAGTGGAGGATCACACATATTTCGTTGGTCCTCAAGTTTCTTTGAATTAGCTCATTTTATGGCCTATTGAGCAAATGCAGGATAACAACATAGAATTTTGGAGAAAATTTATCGCCGAATACTTTGCACCTAGTGCCAAGAAGAGGTGGTGTGTGTCTCTTTATGGAAGTGGTCGTCAAACTACTGGTGTTCTCCCACAGGTATGGTTAACTACCAATCAGGTTAGTTACAAGAATTTTTTTTCTTCTAATTATTCTTTGTTTGTTTAGATAGTTGAATATGGGAATCGATTATGCTTATTTTGATTGGGGTGTACAAATTTTTCTATTTTGGAACATCTTTACTTCATTTTATCATTTCACTCATGTATCTTAACCAGGTAAATTTTGCCTGATTTCTGTAGGATGTGTGGCACTGTGAGATATGCAACCATAAACCTGGACGTGGTTTTGGTATGTAATTTTTGTTCAGTATTATCATTTATCAAATATTTCTTGATGATTTGAGTTATGGTGTTGGTTGCTGAAGTCTGTAAGAACGCAGTGCTGTATTGGGTTCTTGAAATCTGTATTATTTGATTACTCTGTAACTTAATCTTCTTTTTTTGGTTTATAGAAACTACTGTTGAGGTTTTACCAAGGCTCTTCCAAATTAAATATGCTAGCGGCACCTTAGAAGAACTTCTATATGTAGACATGCCTCGCGAGTATCAAAATGCTTCTGGTCAAATTGTCTTGGATTATGCTAAGGCAATTCAGGAGAGTGTCTTCGAGCAATTGCGAGTGGTGCGTGATGGCCAGCTGCGAATTGTTTTCAACCCTGATTTAAAGGTAAAATATATTTGCATGAGGTTATTTATGCACAGCAGAAACTCTGCTAAAAGCCTTCCCATGGGGTACTTTACATATTTAGACATTTTCTTCTTTGTTCTTCGATTAGATTTCTTCTTGGGAATTTTGTGCTAGGCGCCATGAAGAGCTTATTCCTCGAAGAGTTATCATTCCACAGGTACAGTCATCATTTGCCTTAAATGATTTTTCTCATCTTTTGTGACTTGTTGGGTGTCGCCCACAGAGTTCTGGTTGATATCTAATTCATGATTTTGCTGAGCAGGTTAGTCAACTTGGTGCTATGGTGCAAAGGTATCAGGCTGCTGCTCAAAATGCATCATTACCCACACAAGATTTGCAAAACACTTGTAATTCGTAAGTCCTCTGCATTTATTTCATGCTTAAGTTTGACTATCCTTTGCTTGCTGTCAGTTAAGTGAATCTACATATTTGATACAGTATTATTCTTTTGGATGGTATCTGGTTTGTTGGTTCTGCTCACATCTGTACAAGCATTTACATGTGTATTGAAACTACTAGAAAGCTTTCTGTCCAATAAGATTCGGTTACCCTATTAAAAATTTTCTGTTCTTTAAGATAGCACATTTTGATTGTCTTGTCCTGTTGTTTGGATAGTATATTTGTATATTCTTATGCCCATCAAATGTGTTTTGCTATTTTAGCAGCACACTCTGTCTTTTATTAGTTATCAGTAATAGTGTATTGCTCTTGGACATGTATTCTTTTTCCCATTTAAAGTGTATTTCCTTTATCGATATTTGTTAAAGGCATATATGAGCAAACATAGAAAAAGGAAAAGAAAAATGTCTTACTAGTTATATGTGTAGATTGTATATTCACACAGTTTACATGATGAAAGAAATCTTGGCATGGTGAAATTTGCTGAAAGGCTTGAGGATAGAGATTTTAGACGGTTCTAATTGGATGTTCTGCAGTAGTTATATTTATTTTGATATTTTGATGGATAGCCTTTTATAAGCTTAAGTTTAGCCTTTGAATTTTGAAAGATGTGATGTTTGAATCTCTGATAATGTTAATGGCTGCATTGATAAAACATGTATGATCACAGAGTGGATATTTTTCCTGTTTTTTTAACATTCCTTTTGAATTACTAAAAGGACAATTTTTTAGTGTTATGTTGACTCTAAGGCATGCAAGACACTACATAATAAGAAACTGCATGAAGGTACAAGGACTTCATTGTCAAGTCCAGTGAAATGACAATGGCCACATTGTATGAATTTTTTTACCGGTTTCAGTGAAGACAATGCTACAGTGTGATATTGTGACAGTTGAGATAGCACATGCTTCTGAAAACTTTCAAGTAAAGAAATCATGTGAACGTCTCTTAATATGTGTCAATGTTTTATGCAAATCTAAAGATGCTGAGTTTAGGGTGTAGATGCATGTGTGTGATATGCGTGTTTAAATGTTTGTGCAAGAATCCCTCTATTTATTTGGGTATGTATTTTGAGAAATGATTTCTTCATGTTAAGAAAACTGTTGAATTTTTAACAACCAATTTTCTTTTCTATAATTTGAAATTCGACTTATTTGATGCTTATGAAATATGTGATAGGTTTGTAGCATCAGCTCGCCAATTGGCCAAAGCTTTGGAAGTTCCATTGGTGAACGATTTAGGATATACAAAAAGATATGTTCGTTGCCTTCAGGTAGACTGCTTTGCATTTACTGAAAATTCTATTCCCTTTGAATATTCTTGTTAGTACTTCAGTGCTGTTTGTTGTGCCAGTATGCTTTTATTTTTTTTTGCTGTGACTTAATTACTTTTGTTTCTGTTTGGATTTGATCCTTCTTTGTACTTATTATTGCTTAAATTTTATTAGACTCTTTGTTGAAGAGTTGTGCCGTCACAAAATTCTTCATGGGTAATTTGTATTTAACATGTTTCATAAGGAATATCACAATGTTAAAAGATGTCTATAATAGACTAAAAAAGAATCTCTCTCTCTCTCTCTCTCTCTCTCTCTCTCTCTCTCCACGTCCGTCATGATGTGTCTTGAGTAGCACTAATCAATAAAAAACTTTAATCAAATGCCATTAACACCACAATGTCAAATTCTCTCTAGTAACTGAAGCGAAGAAAAATTGTACCTTGATCAGTATAAACAAGCCACATTATTGCCACACTGACTCATAACGAAATTTTTAGAGTTTGTAGATGTTGCATGTGTATGGAGTGCATTCATAAAGGTGTCTGTCCTTTCTGATCTACTAAGTTTGCAGCATTAAGATTTTTGATAGGAAGTATTCATTTCTAGAAGAAAAAGGTGAAAGAACATATAGTTAAACTGTTGTTTAAGTGTTCTATTATTTGTGCCTCAGAGATGCTGAATAGTGGAGCTTCTCTTATCCAAAAAAATCATTAACTAAACAATAATTTATAATGTTGCAATAAAAGAGGTGAATGTACCCAACACCAGGCAATTTAAATTTGCAAAAATAAGATGAGCTAGTCACTTTGTCACACAAATCACTTTAAAATTGGTTGTTGAACATGGAAAACTGGAGTAACACTTGGTGCACTGTCTGAGAAATTTGACCCTCTATATACAAATCTTTGTATCTGTCAATTTGCTTCTTGTCTTTTCTTCCAACACAACTATAAGGTAATTTCTTTAGAAAGCAACTAGTGAGCTAGACAATTAAAATGTGAACTTTAAACTATTTCTTTTTTGTTAATTTTTTTATCATACTTAAAAAACAAGAATCTGCAAGTTGTCACTGTTGTGAGGGTTTGCTGCAATTTGAAGTTTGGAGGGTAGGACATGGATAGACACTTGCAGTCAACCTGCTGACTGTTATTGCTAAAGCAGCATTATGATGACGAGATGGTCACCATTTTGCATATAAATCTCAGATTTTTGCTTTTCATGACAAAAAGGGTTCTTCTGCAATAAAATTGATGTACACCGTATTGATATAGCTTCCTTCGGATCAATGGTTTTGAAACATTCGAGCAATAAACTTTACACCATCTCTTATTCATATTGTTTTGATACCTTAAAGTACAATATCTTTCATTCTTTACCTTTTTTTTATTATGTTGCAAAAATTTGTGTAACAGCTAATGCACAACACTCTGAGTTGCAAACTATGTAGTTCGTATTGTTTCATTACTGATTCTTTTACTTTGGTTGGTGATAGATATCTGAAGTGGTTAACAGTATGAAGGATTTGATTGATTATAGCAAAGAAACTAGATCTGGACCTATAGGTAAGCTCTTTCCTTGTTAGTTTCCTTTTCATGGCTTGCTTCAGATACCAAACAATGTTCAGCTAATATAGAACTGCTTCGTTGTTTTCATAATTTTTCATTTGTCTAGTATGAACTAATATAAGGGTGCAAATTGGATGCATAGAGATCATTATTAATTCAACTGTATCAGTTTGGATACTAGTTACTCTTTGTGGCTTGGAAATTCTTGTTATCCGATTGGTCCATGCAGTTCTGACAATGTGTCAACATAAGCATAGTTAATAAGTAGAAGTGCTGCTATTTCAACAAGTTTTGAGGGATAACACTGATTTTATACGTAACACTGATTTTATACTTTCCAGCCTATCCGGTTCGTGATCAGTCAACTCTGTTCCTGTTTTGGGTGATGTATTGGTTGCTTTGCCTGGTCGGTAGTCAATGGGAATTAGTCTGAACCAAGTTATTTAGGTTTCACAAGCCTTTTATGTGTAACTTATTATTTATTTTTGGAAATTTACTATATTTTTAATGTTTGCTATTTTTCCGACGTATACAATCCCCAACCTCAGACCCTGCATGGATCCTGTTTCGGATCCTGATCCCATAAGCCTTAATTTGCAATATCATCTATATATAGGTTTTAAAATCATGGTTAACTTCACCACCGATCTTCTACAACTAGAGAAAAAAAAGTTGTAAATTCTAAGGTGCTATTTGTTTGATCAAAGTTTAATAAAATCAATTTGTCAACTTCAAGTCCTGACTTATCTATTGTTTTTGTGGTTCAGATAGCCTGAATAACTTCCCTCGAAGGACTTCTTGTTCGTCAGGTCTTCAAACTCAGCAACCCCAACAGCCTGAGCAACAGCAACCCATCACCCAGAATCCGAACCATAATGATCAGAACTCTGCTCATGCCACCGGCATACAGCTTTCTGCTGGCAGCAGTAATGTTGTGAGTATCAATAACTCCCTTAATGCTGCTTCATCTACCTCTACATCTGCAGCAACCATTATTGGTCTCCTCCACCAAAATTCTATAAATACCAGGCAAGAAAACCAGATGAACACAGTAAACAGTCCTTATGGTGGTGGGAATGCTGTTCAGATTCCATCCGCCAGTTCATCCAATACATTAGCTCCATCACAACCCAATCCTCCTTCCCCTTTTTCTTCTTTGGCACCTGCTTCCAATAACAATCCGACGACAACCTCTCATAATGCTGCTCATCTGAGCTCCATAAATTCACCTGCAAGCTTGTCTACAATGCAACAGCCTGCATCACAGGTTCATGAGACTGATCCAAATGATTCACAAAGCTCTGTCCACCAAATTCTGCATGAGCTGATGATGTCCTCGCAGCTAAATGGTGTCAATTCCTTGGGGAATGACATGAAGCCAATTAATGGGATAACGCCTGCATTGAGTGTGGAGAACTGCTTAGTTGGACACGGTTTATCCAACAACTCGGCTATCAGTGGCGCGGGCTTTTCAGGCATGGGTGGGATTGGTCTGTCTGCTGCTGCTAGTGGGATGCGGCCAGGAGGGACTAATAATGTTATGGCTATGAATGGGAGGGTCGGAGCGAGTCACCTTTCCCAAGATCCCACAGCTACTAGCCATCAACAGCAAGATATTGGAAATCGACTATTGGAAAGAATAGGAGCAGTTAACAGCTTCAATAATCTTCAATTTGATTGGAAGTCCTTTCCTTAAAAATGAAGCGGAGGTATTTACCGAATCAAATTTTTACTTAAAACAGAGCTGTGGCTTGAGCTACGATGGTAAATAGCCCTCGGACTGCACATCGCCAAACATCGCAGCTCCTGTCCCACCCTTTCGGAAGCCTCTCCCGAGCTAATTACCCCGAAGGATAACACATACTAGCTTATTTTCTAGTTCTTGTTTCGTTTTCATGTCTTCTAACTGTTTTTTTGTAATGCTGCTTGTGTATTATGCTCCCGGGGCACATTTCTGCCAACGCTTACGGTGTCGATGGGAAAATCGGTGTATGTATGGAGGAGGGAAGGGTCATGGTACTACTGCTTGTAGCATTTCTCAATTTTAAAGATGGTATAGAAGATGCTTTTGATATGGAGAGTGATGTGTCTTCTTCTCATCTGGATCTTGTAAAGAACTGTAAGGGCACACTGCTGTCTTCTTTTGTTGACTTTTTCCATGTTGTGAATGATGAAAGGTGGAATTTGCAAGATTCAGATGACATCTACAAATGCTTGCTTTTTGTCTTATACAAACACAAATAGTCGTCAGCTCTCTGATTCCAGAACCCTGATGTCATCTGTCATCTCTGGTTAGTATGCCAAACCCTAGATTGCAAGGATCTCCATGTGGATTTGGCCTAAGCATGAGATTGCTGCATGGTTGAAGCATTGGATTTATATCTTCTCCAAAGGCACATTTTATTGTACCTTCTCAAAAGTAGGATCATTGAGAAGGTTCATTGGCTATGGTGCTCATGAGATAGTGTGACATGTGACATCTTCCTTGATATATCATTGGTTTTGGATTACCTTTTGATTATTAGATGATTCATCTCATGAATCATTTTTTATGTCATATTTAGTGTTTCTTGGCATGAATCATTCGAGTGCTGATGAGATGATGCCAACAAAATGAGACGCCATGCATGAACCACTACATAGAGCACTCGTCCCCCTCATCCCTATCTTGTTCTTCGTGCACTATAAGGTGTTCTAGCTTGTATGTTAATATGATTCTTATTGCAGCAACATCTATTCCTATAGCTACGAACCGTGATAATATATACCGTCGTGAAAAAAATACATCTATGAGTTTTAGAATCATAGTTAAATATCTACATATTTTTTTGCGATGTAATAGATTTTACAATCGTAGATAATAAATGTCTATGTATCACTACGTAAAAAGATATAGATATGAATTTTTCTATAAATTATAGTCACAATAGTAGTTCATATATCACTACAGTAATGGATATGTTTTCACTATATAATAGATTTTACAATCTTAGATAAATATCTATGTATCACTAAGCGAAAAGAAATAAATATGAATTTTTCTATAGATGATAGTCACAATAACAGTTCATATATCATTACAGTAATGGATATTTTTTTCGCGATGTAATAGATTTTATAATCTCAGATAAATGTCTACCTATTACTATGTGAAAAGATATTAATATAAAATTTTCTGCAAATGATAGTCATAATAGTAGTTCATATATCACTACAATAATGGATATTTTTCAGGATGTAATATATTTTATAATTATTAATAAATATGTACGTATCACTAGATATGAATTCTTTTATGAATGATAGTCATAATTGTTTTGTACCTTTATGTTGTGAGTAAGTGTCAGCACGGCTTAACCCATATCGAATAAGTAAGATCATTAGTACAATCTCTGAGTTGGAGCATATTAACCCGAGGTCTGATTGAGGGGTGGGGGTTGTAGATCATTTAGTTGTCCATCGAGTGCCTGCACATAAATCAAAATTAGAGAGGGGGATCCCCGACTCGACCCCTCCGATGCTTAAGTTAGAAAGAGTTAGCGACGGGAGAGTTAGAGTGTGAGTATGTGTATCAGGTCCGACGCCCCAGGTGCTAGTCTTAAGAGTTGGCTTTTATACAAGTTGTCGTGTGTTGATGTACGTAGGTTTTAATGATTGTCGACGTGTCCGTACACATGTGTTTAAAGACCCGACCCCCGGTGTTGTTTCTGGGGGTGGCTTCTATACTCCGTTATCGTGTATTGACGCACGTAGATGTCAATGATTATCGGCATCTCTGTATACAGGTGTTTAAAAGCTCGACCCCAACGTTGTTCTTGGGGGTAGCTTCTGTACTTATTATCGTGTGTTGGTGGGGGTATGGATGTCAGACGACTGTTTCGCTCAGAACCAAGGTGTCGAGATTGTTTGGCATGCCACGTTAGCTTCGGAGCATCGTGCCAAGTCCATCGTGACAGTCGACGTGTCATAGGGTGGATGCCAAAATATGCTATATCAACAATCATCTGGTTCGACGAATGGGCTTGTTCACTAATTCCAATCCGAGTCGTAAACCGTCGGTTTAATAACCACGCAGTTAAACATACGAGTTTATCGAGTCGAACCCGAGGCCATTAAGAGATACTCAGTAACTTCGATACAGGGCAGACTATAAGATCGATCGATCATACGGTTCGGATACCGAGTTCGGCAACACTGATGGATGGTATGCAGTTAAACTCGGGAGTTCACCGAGTCGACCCGAATCCCACCCGCAGTCATCGGGTTCAACAACCATACCCGAGCTTGCCTGCCATCTTCGATACGAGCCACAGGATCGTGGGATCCTACGGTCCATATCGTGAGTTTATGCTAAATTTACAGTAAGTACTGCATGCATACCTTTGTGAAGTTTGGAGATTTCAACGTAGAGTATGAAACATTTCCAAGGCAGATTAATCTCAACAAGTCATTCTTGTTTCTCCTGTTGGCTGAGGTAATATCACATCACAGCTTAGCTCTAATCGAAAAGGACTGCCAAAGAAATTATTGTCTACATTGAATGTGACTTCCATGGTGCTTCTCAAAGTTGACTTCAAGTGATATAGTTCACACATCAATTCAATGTGTAAAAGCACTATCTTGCTGTCCATGCTTTCAAGTCCATCACCTCGGTGTCAAAATGTTTTCAGCTAAATTCTCAGGCAGGACGTGTTCTCACAATTGCTTACATTGCTTACATGGATACGAAACACATGGAACACAATGGCAATGAGGAGTTAGTGTGATACTTGTGAATCTAAATATACATTGCTTACATGGATACGAAACACATGAAACACAATGGCAATGAGGAGTTAGTGTGATACTTGTGAATCTAAATATACATTGCTTACATGGATACGAAACACATGAAACACAATGGCAATGAGGAGTTA